AGCCCAGTGTCACGCCAGTCAGAAGACTGCAGAAGCAACCGCTTAGCAGACTCTGGCACAGACCGAGAAGCACACTAGTTATCCTGTGGGCAAAGGAGACAGGAGTGGACCCTGTGTCCGGGTGCCCGGGAGGGGTTTGCTGTAACTGCAATACTGGCATCCCAGCTGCTGACCTTGTTAAGCGAACCTCTGCTGGGTGGCCCGCCCTGTACCCTCGGGACAAGCAAAGAGGTGTGAGGAGACTGGGGGGGGGGGGGGGGGGGGGGAGGGCGCTGGCCATGGCCTTGGATACGGTCCACTGAATAGCCAAACAGGTTTTTTTGTTTGTTTGTTTGTGTTTGTGTTTTGTATTTCAAACTCTTGTCGAGTGTTTTTGTGTTAGGAATAAAAAGTCATAAACTCTCCCCAACTTTGTTTCTTGAGGGGTGTTCTGATTCCAATGGAAACAGGTTGGAAATCTCCAGGGGAGTGTGGTCACGGTGGTCAGCGGGACAGGGAGGTGGACCGCTTGGCTTTCCGGATGGTTTCTGGAGGCCATGACCATCCAGAAGTCTGGCTTGGTGCCGTCCGCTCTGGAAATTCACACCCACCCCCTTGTGCCACGGTATTAGCATTGGCTTTGAGCGTCGGCTTCCTCCAGAGGCAGCTGCTAATGTTGAAATCAACTCAAGATCCCTCTCCCCGACCCCCAGGTTTCTAAAAGACTGTGTCTGTAGCTAGCCTTAATCGACTGGGCGAGGTGGTCCCTATGGTCCCTTCCAGCATTTCCAAATCTTGGACTCAAATCCTTTTCTCTTGGTGTGACCATGCAGCCTAGAGAATTCTGAGCAATAGGGAGCCAGGGCTTTCCCCGGCTCTGTGACAGGGTTAAACCAGGGAATGGCTAAACTTGTCAGGTTTGGGCATCCCCAGGGGTACTACCGTAGGGGGCATTATTTATTAGGAAGCTCAACAAGGTAACTACAGCCTGGGGTGCGTGAGCGCAAGGCTGTGTGTGTGCGTATAGGTGTGTATTTGTGTGTGTGTGTGTGTGTGTGTGTGTGCGTGTCTGTCTGTCTGCACGTGTGCACGCCTGTGTGTGTGTGTATGTGTGGAATTACATTGATGCATTTCTTGAGAAAGGTGCAAGAATTTCACCTACACAGAAGGACACATCTGCTTTGTTATTTATAATAGAAAGCTAAATTTTAATTTTTTAAAGGACACTGCTAATGATTGAGAATCGAGTTTTTAGTTTTGCTATTTTTTTTAATTGGTAGAGGATTTTTATATATTTTTTCCATTTCGTTGGGTTGTGTCCTTATTTATATAAATACTTTATCTGTAAGAGGCAAGGAAGAAACCTTCTTTGCTTTTAATTATTGTGGTTGTCATGGTCCCTATTTTATTTCCGGTGTGATTTATCTGTCTCACCTTCTAAATGAGAAACTGTTTTCCTGTATTTGTACATTGTCAGATTCTATAGTTTCATAGATAATTTAACCAAATTGCTCTATGTATTATTCTTTCGTGAGTATAAAGTTCTATTTTAACGTCTGTAAATACTTCAGAACTGGCTTCTTTTCTCAGACTCCTACTATGGAGTTATTGTTTACATCACAAAAACTGTAGAATCTCTATGCTCATGTACTGTAAATAGTGAAGTGATCTGCTTATAAATAAACTGAACAAATACACTATGGAGATTAAAAAGAAAACACCACCCACAGCCCCAGTGAGATGTGTCTTTATTTGCGTGCTCGTTGAGGGACACCCTGGCCACTAAATGGGAAAAGGATTCTAGTTCCAGGGTCGCTTTCTCAGAGAGGACCAGGGTCAGGTGTGCCCCCCGAGCCTCCCAAAACTCTCTGGGTTCACGTTTCCTTCCTTCACAGCACATTTCATGGCTCTTACGAACCATCCAGACTCAGTCTCCCACAACAGTCATTCCAGGACCAGTTTTTTTGCCAGGACTTTTAGAACGCTCTCCCGCTTTCTGAACAAGGACCTCCTTGTCTGGCTGTATCAACTTTTCCACACAAGCTCACTAATGACACATGCTGAAGGAGGTACTTTGACATTATGTTTTCAAGCAAAAACCCTCACCGACGGACGACCACAGTACGGTTTCTGGTTAAAAACAAAGTTTCTGGTCAGAGGATATGAAGAACAGACTCGAATTGTGTGCTTCATTTGGGTGAGTTTGAAATGTTTTCCTTTGCTCACTTCCAGCAAGGGCGGTGAAGAAACGGCGTCTTCTAAGACCCTCTGTCTTGGATGTCCTCCGTTTCATGCTTTCTCGGGGGTCGCTTTTATTTTGCCCTAAAACTGCTTTACCTTTATTTACTCTTTTTTAATAATTTTTTAACGTTTAGTTATTTTTGAGGGAGAGAGAGACAGCACGAGCGAGGGGACGGGCAGAGAGAGGGAGACACAGAATCCGAAGCAGGCTCCAGGCTCCGAGCTGTCAGCACAGAGCCCGACGTGGGGCTCAAACCCACGAGCCGCGAGATCATGACCTGAGCCGTAGTCGGACGCTTCACCGACTGAGCCACCCAGGCGCCCCTTAACTTTATGTTTTAAGTGCAGTTTAAGTGCAAGATACCTGTGGATATTGATGTGCCCCCAAAGGGTTGAGACGTTGGTGAAGAAAATCACACGTACCCAAGACCAAGTACAATCAGCCATTCCATTCTATGTTATGTGCAAACTGGTTTCAAGTTGTTTTGTTTCCTACATAAACTCGCTCTCGTTTTGAGGTGATTTGTTTTCTCCATCTGGAAACGGTTTGGATTTCTGCAGTCGGAAAGGAACACATCGCAATTATTTCCCATTCAGATGAATGGGGATGTTCCCCCTTAGCAGCAGGCTTCTGTGACTTGAGTTGGTCTTTAGAGAGGTTTTCCGTGTGCGTAATCGCTCAGGAGCTGTCGCTCCCTTGCTCGATGGTAAAATTCAGGAAAGCAGGGCTGCTTCTCTATTCATGGCAGGGTGCCCAGCCCTGTTGGTCAGGAGTTCCTGAATGGACGCGTGAGTGGATCCTATCCATGGCCTGATGACTGCACACACAGCTAGGAAGGCCCCCGAGCCACAGAGTCGCGGAAATAATGCCCTCAAGGATGCATTCAGTGGTGCCAGAAATAGCCCGGGAGATTTAGAGGCTCGAGACCTACGTTTGAGACGCAGCTCTGCCACGTCTGTGTTGTGCAAACTTCGACAAGCCACCTCTTTGGGCCCCTGGTTTCCCTGAGTGTGAGGCAAGATGAATTGCCTAGGTGAACTCAGGTCCCTTATGTTTTAAAGGAGCTGATGGTCAGAAGCAAGATGGTGCAGGGAAAATGGGTTACAAGCCAGGAGGGTGGTGACAGCTGTCTGGCTTTGGGTCTTAACCTCCATCTCGTACCAGCTGGTCGTCTTTGGGCAGGTTTCTTAACCTCTCTGAGTATCTTCATCCTGTGATAAATGGGGCTGGCGATCGTCTCTACCCTGTAGCGTTGGGAGGATGAAATTGGACCGTGAACAGTACCCAGGACATCACAGGGGGCACTTAATTCAACATAAGGTGCAGTCCTTATATGTGGTTCCCTTGGTGCTAACCAGAGCAGCCCTGTGAGAGGTGTGGCGAGGACTGTGACCCTCAGTTGGCAGACGGGGAGGGCTGAGGCTGGGAAGAACGGAGGGAACCTGCCCAAGGAATAAAGCCAGGACCGGCAGCAGCGTGTGTATTTCCAGGGCGACACCTGTCTTCTTTGCCCTGCCACTTAACCACTACGTGTGGCCTGCCTAGGGACATGTCTCTTTAAAGACCGCTGCTCTGAGAGGGTCAACTTCCGGAAAGCAGAACATCTAGCTTGAGAGTTAAAAGATGAGGATTCAAGACCCACCTGTCTAGTGACATCTAAACTTGAAAAGTGTGAAACTTGTGGGGCACCTGGGTGGCTTAGTCAGCTAAGTGTCACCCACTTGATTTCAGCTCGGGCCATGATCGCACGGTTCGTGAGTCTGAGCCCCCCATCGGGCTCTGTGCTGACAGCGTGGAGCCTGCTTGGGATTCTCTTTCTCCCTCTCTCTCTCAGTCCCTGCCCTGCTTGCACTCTCTCTCTCTCTCAAAATAAATAAACTTAAAAAGAAAACCGCTTAAACGTGTGAAACTTGTTTGGACAAACCAACTAATAAAGACGTTTGTGCGACAGCGGGGGAGAGACAATGAAGGATGGGTGTGGTCAGTTGGGTTCCCCAGAAAGCAGCCTCCTCAGTGGTCTTTGTAGGATGTTTATTAAGGGGTGCCCACGGGACCAACACCTGGGGCAGGGAAGGGAGTGGGGATGGGCAGAGGGAGAAGCCGAGCTGTGACGGAGCCCCGGCGACGGCCGTGGTGACCCCACCGGAGTCCTGGAACTGGAATGGCCCTGTGGAGTTGTCCTGGGTTGGGCCAACACGGCCAGGCCTTAACACCTGGCATAGGTCTGTCATGGGCGTAGGCCATCCGGGGAAGGCCGTGACCTTGGGTCAAGGATCTCCCTGCAGCTGCAGGAATTTCCGAGGGACAGCTGTGGGGGCCGCACGTTCTTTACTCTTCAGGAAAGGGTCTGCGCAGCTCATCACAGCATCGACCACCCCTCGATATGAGGTGTTCATTCGCTTCATGTGATAATGATGGGGTTATATTAGAAAACGCCCGGATGTTTTTAAAGATGTGTAATGGAGGAGCGAAATGATACGTCTGGAACGTACTGGTAAATGCTTCAGGTAAGGGGCCCCTGGCTGGCGCAGTCTGAAGCGCAGAAGACCCTTGATCTCGGGGTTGTGAGTTCGAGTCCCACATGGGGGGGTAGAGATTACTTAAATGAGTAAACTTAAAAACAAAATACCATCAAGCTGAAAAGAAAAATGACTAGAGCTAAGGGAAAAAATGCAAAAGAAATGGAAAAGGATGGGTGATTGGTTTTTGCGCAAGAGAAAAGTACTCAAAACTGAAAAAAAAAAAAAAAAGATGGAAAGAAAAACCACTAGATAGGATGTAAGCTAAATTCTCGTTCCGCTTTCAAGTCCTAGGACTCTTTTACTTCTCAAGAAGGTTTTTGAGTTTCCGCCGGCTTGGGGGAATCTCTGTCCACGAGGGTGGGACCATTCTGGTCAGCTGATGCCCGGCTGGGCTACTGGATGCAGCAGGACTTGGATGCTGGTGCGCCCCCTGCTGGACCGGGGTTGCCCCCGGGCTGATTTCCCGCCGCCGCTGCGGACAAGAAAGAGAATACACCGGGTGAGAGGAGGCGCGCGCTTCCCTTTCGCCCTGGTTTAGACCAAGAGTTGCAAACTCGGGGGCTTTCGGAGGCCAACAGGTAACCAACCACACATGCAGAAGGCGAGCCACGTGTCAGGAGAATCCGAGGAACCAAGGCCGTTTCTCTACACTAAGAAAAAGGGAACCACTATGGTGATGATAAATGACCCACCAACACTCGGCACGCTGTCTGGGAGACAGCAGTGGGTGGTGTTGAGACGGTGGCAAACCAGAGCGATCCCCTATCCTGTCTAAAGGGGGCATTTGCCACTCAGCTCCCGCTAATCGTTGTCCTGCAGAAAAGCAGACTGGTGTGGCCAAATACCGATATATACATTTTTTTTTCTTAAAGAAATGTTGGAGATTTGGATGTTCAAAATCGGAAATATCCCAGTTTTATTTATTTAAAAAAAATTTTTTTTTTCAACGTTTATTTATTTTTGGGACAGAGAGAGACAGAGCATGAACGGGGGAGGGGCAGAGAGAGAGGAAGACACAGAATCGGAAACAGGCTCCAGGCTCCGAGCCATCAGCCCAGAGCCAGACGCGGGGCTCCAACTCCCGGACCGCGAGATCGTGACCTGGCTGAAGTCGGACGCTTAACCGACTGCGCCACCCAGGTGCCCCAGAAACATCCCAGTTTTAAAACGCGGACAGCAAATTCACGCGAACAGAATGCAGGCCAAACAAAAGACATCCGCAGGCTTCGAGTTTGCACAGAGCTGCCGCTAGCCCAAAAGATAATTTGCAAATGAGAAAAAGATGCCTCGTCCTCCGGACACTTTACTGCCATTTCTGGAAAATTGTAATAACCGTACAAATCTATGATGACTGTCACGTATAGGACACTGGGGCCGTGCAGACGGCACGGCTTGCAAAACGTAAATGGTAGCCCCACATTTGCAGCCACCAGGTTAGAATCACCCCACGATGCCCCGAGCAGAACTGGAGCCATGACAGTGTCGCGTTACCAAGGTGGGCAGAGGGGCAGGTGTGCAGAGGAGGGAAGTCAGAGGGGGGCCAGGACTACATGTCATGTCCCACGAGGGAACTGGACCCACACAATCAGTAAAAGAAATGGCTGGAGGGAGGGAGAATGTGCTGTCAGTTGGGAAGGGCTGGAGCAAACATCCCACTTGATTCTGGAAGGCAGGGCTGCGGCCGCCAGGTGGAGGCTTCCACAAGGAGAATTGTGGTTCAAGGAAGAGCTTTCTAACACTGATACGGAATGAGGATGTTATGCATAGTAGTGAGCCCTCCGTCACCGGGAGTGTGCAAGAAAGGGCTCGTGCTGGTATAGACACTACTCAAACATCAGACAGAAAGTCAGAAATAGGGCCCCTAAAACTCCTTCAAAGGTTTTCTCCCTTGCCCCTGGGTATGGCTCTATGTCCACAGCCCTGGAATTGGAATCTGTCCTACACTGGTTGGGGGGCAGCCGGAAATCCTTGGTAGAAGGTTCAGTCTTGGGAACTAGGCTCTGCCGCTTACTAACTGTATGATTTGGCCATGGTACTTCATGTCAGCAAGCCTCAGGGCCCCAAAATGCAGAATGAGAGCGATCAGAGGAGGTGGGGACGCCTGGACGGGCCCACACGTATGGGGCCCTGCGACCAGGCTGTGAGTGTTTAGTGGGTGGGGACAGGGCTCCTCGTCTCCCCTGTCCACAAACCTTGCGTGCCTGCCTGCTGCTTCTGCTTCTCCTCCTCCAACGCCTTCATCTTGGCATCGTACTCATCCGCGAGCGCCTTCCACTCCTTGCGGTTGTTGGTGATCCCATCCAGCATGGGAGTGATCTCTTCATGGAAACGGGAGAATTCCTGGAAAAGAGAGAGCCTCTGGCATGGGGGGGGGGGGGGCATGGCCCAGGGTCCAGCGAGGGGGAGGCATGGCTGAGAATGCCCAGCACGGGAATGAGCTGCCTGGGGCGGTGGGATGCTGACACTGGTGGGGGGAGGGCTGCAGTGCAGGGGCTCATCCATCCCTCTCCTGCTTAAAACCCTCCTGTGGCAGTCCCCATGTCCTTCACCTGGCTTCCGGACTCCTCCAGATCTGCTGCCCTCTCCTCTTCACCATTTTGAACCCTCTGGGTAAGTAGAGTCCCCTGTTAGAAGCTCCAGAAGCCTCTCTTCCACATCTCATTTCATTGTAATGACTCCCTTTGCCCGTCTCCCCCAGGGGCTGTGAACTTGGAGAGGGCAGGGACAGGGGCGCCTTGTTCACTGGGGTGAAAAGACAGTGTCTGGGGTATAAAGACACCAGAAAACATTTGCTGAATGAAATTGGGATTTGCGAAGGGGATTCTGAAAGTCTCTTAGCTCCAAGAATACAAATAATGCCTTGAGCACAGTACATTGCAGTTTATGGAGTGCTTTATCTCCATCGATCCCCAGATACTCCTGGGAGGTGGGAAAACGGGATGCATCCCTCCGGGATTTTCAGGCGAGGAAATCAAAGTGCAGGTTGATGGAGTAGATTTGCTCAAGGTGAGAACAGCAAATCCAGGGTCCACCGTGGAGTTCCGGCCAGAGTCGGCTATGCTCAGAGCTGCCGGGTTTGGATCCAGTTCTGCCACAAACTGTGTGACCTCGGGGCGGTGACCTACAGAGCTCTGCCTCAGCCATCCTCGCAGGGCTGTGATAGCACACGGAGGGCACTCGGCCTCGCCTACCCGGTTTAATAATATTCCTGATGATAGTGGGGAGCACGGCGACTCTACCTTGTTGCTTGGAGCACCCCAATTAGCCATGTTATGACAGAGTGGCCCCTGTCTGCTCTGAGAGCATGTGCCCTTCTCCCTAGTGCAGCAGAAAGAGCCCTAAACCAGGGTCAGGCATCCCGGCTCTAGTCCCGGCTCGAGGCCGCCTCCAGCGACGCTGGCCCTGTCATTTCTCATCTCTGACCTCTGCCTCCTCATGTGTAACATGGCCGAAATAAAAATGACTAACGGGCGGTGGGTGGTGGCACAAATAACACAGAGTTGGGAGCAGTGGGTTTCCAGGAGGAGGACTTTACCCGTGACCATCGGCTCAAAGAAATCCCAGATTGTCTTTTGACAATTGGGCTACTTTGACCTATCACATTTCCACCAACCAGGGAAGTTAGGAGGGCGTGCATCCCATGGCCTCCCCCTTTCCTGTCTGAAATTGGCTTCGTCATTTGTCCCCATGGTACTGAGCACCTAGAGTGCATGAAGCCCCAGACTCTGGCCTGGGTACATTACCACTCAAGACCCCCGTTGGGCCGTCCTGAGGACCAAATGCCGTTGCAGATGAGAAGCTCTTTGTAAACTATCACCCGCTGGTCAGCCACCTGCCAGGGTTTATTATTCCTGATGCTGTTGGGAATCCTGGGTTTATCAAGGACACCTTGCTTAGCCTGAGAAAGCAAAGGACCTACCTTGTAGACAAAGGTGCAGACAAAGTCAATGAAGCCGACCTGAAGCTTGGGGAGCTCATCCGCCTTGTTTCTGTCCATCATGGGCTGTCATGGAGGAGAAAGAGTTAACTGTACCCAGCTCCTCTTGGCATGATGCCAGGACCTACTCTACCTAAGAAGCATTCTCTTTTTTTTTTTTTTTAATTTTTTAATCTTTATTTATTTTTCAGAAAGAGACAGAGTGTGAACGGGGGTGGAACAGAGAGAGGGAGACACAGAATCTGAAACAGGCTCCAGGCTCTGAGCTCCCAGCACAGAGCCTGACGCAGGGCTCGAACTCACAAACTGCGAGATCATGACCTGAGCTGAAGTCGGCCGCTTAACCAACTGAGCCACCCAGGCGCCCCTACCTATGAAGCATTCTTATTCACAACAAAACAAAGCAAAACAAAACAAAACACCCAACTAAACCTGAACTCATCAAGTTTCCAGATCTGACTAGCAGTTTGCAAGAAATATGGGGATAAAGGAACATATTAAATAACACCATGAGGGTGCAATCAACCCAATCCAGAATGTGGGCAACTACACAACAGAAGACCCATGGTCTTCAACAAATAAATACATGCCACGTATATATTTATAAAAAAAAAAAAAAGAGGAGAAAATTGCTATGTATTGAAAAAGATTCGAGAGACATAACAACCGGAGGGAATGTGGTCCCTTGACTGGATCCTAATTTGAACAAATCAACCTAATTATTTTTTTCACTCGATCAGGGAAAATAAACAGAGGTTGAGGATTGGATGACCTTAAAGAATTATTACTAATTTTGTGAGCGTAATAATGGTAGTGTGTGTGTGTGTGTGTGTGTGTGTGTGTGTGTGCTTGCATACTGTGTGTGAGTTTCTTATCTCTCAGAGAGGCAAACTGAAGTATTTAGGGGAGAAGTGATAACATCTGGAATTTACTTTAAGATACTTCAGCCAAAAGATAAGAAAATGCCTGAGCTGGGGGCATAGATAAAACGAGAATGGCTGACTCTCACTAGCAGTTGAACCTGGCTGGTGGGGTCTCTAGGGTTCTTTCACTGGTCTCTCCACACGTGAAAACCTGGGAAAGAAAAAAGAGAGATCCAAACCGGTGGCCCCCTGCTACTCAGGTTGGGACGCTCCCTGCCTGCCTGCCCTGAGGCTTGCACAACACTCACTGCCTGTACTCCCCCTCAGTCCCTGTCCAAGCCTCACGTGGGTGCCCCAGCGTGCCCTCTGCTCTGCCACAGGCTTCTCCCACCCCCATCTCCATCAACGGCTCTGTCCCCAGAATGTCACTCCCTCCTACCCCGCTTCTACTTCCTAGCCCCGCCCTCACTTGGCTAACCTCTCATGGTGGGGGGGGGCGCCCATCTCAGGTGGGGAGCCCACCGGCTGTCCCTGCCACACCTGCTCTCAACGTGGATGGGTGCTCAGCTTGACCAGGTCCTCCCCTTGTACGCTCTGGACTGTTAGAACAGGGCCTGGGGAGGCGGCCCCCTGGACTGTGGGAAATGAAAGGAAATCTGTTTTGGGGTTCACTTGTCAATCTCTACCTGGCTGAGTGAGCCAGTACATTAGAGCAGGGTTCTCAGACTTCAGGAGGGCTTGTCGGTTAGGAGGGCACACATCTGCTGAGCCCACATCCAGAGTTCCTGCTGCGGTAGGTCTAGGATGGGGGCCGGGAATTGGCATCTCTGACATGTTCCCTAGCAATGAGGTTGATGGTGGCCTGGGGACCATGCCTTGATGACCAGTGTATTAGGAAAAGGTCATCTCTATGGTAAGATCACACATGTCTGTGTCAGGAGGCCCGTCTGTGTGTCAGGGTGAGATCACACACACCCCACATCAGGCTGACGCCCCATCCCCTACTCACGATGGGGTTCTGCTGCAGCACTGTGCGCTCCAGGTCACCTTGTTCCCAGAATTCGGCAGCAACCAGCAGAGCTACCTGCAACAGACAACCCCCCCCAAAAAGTCAAGCCACAGCTCCCATCCTCCCGCCCCTGCTCCCACCCCTCCTGGGGGGCATTTCCAGCTCAGCAAACGCTTCAACCCCACCCCTGCCTCGCCACCCCCTTTGTTGGCATCGCTGGAGAGGGCACTAAAGTGGCTTCCATGTCCTGGCAGAGGAGGAGGAGACGAAGCGGGGCCGCCTCTGGAGCTGGAGTCCAAGCTGCACCGGCTGCTGTCGTGATGCTGGGACTCCCCTCCTCTCAGGTCAGGAGGGCTCCATACCTTACTCTGTACCTCCCAGGGCTTGGTGATGGCTGAGAGATCGCAGGCGGTCATCATCATGGCCCTGGACACAAGGACGCCATCCATCAGCCCAGAGCTATTGAAGGCTGCAAGTGCGGGGCACCTGGGTGGCTCAGTCGGCTGGGCGTCCGACTTCGGCTCAGGTCACGATCTCGCGGTCTGGGAGTTCGAGCCCCGTGTCGGGCTCTGTGCCGACAGCTGAGAGCCTGGAACCTGCTTCGGATTCTGTGTCTCCCTCTCTACCCCTTCCCCCTCACCCTGAGGCTGTGTCCCTCCCTGTCTCTGAACAATGAATAAACCTTAAAAAAAAAAATTAAAAAAAAAAAAAGGCTGCAAGCTCTGGTTAATTTTAACTGTCTCTCCTCCCTCTGTGCGGGAGAGGGAGAGTGCTCCCAGGGCTCACCGGGAGTGAGGGGCTCACTTCTGCGAGGCATCTGGAGGGCAGGCTTTGAAGTCAGACGGAGGTTAAAATCCTGCCTCTGTCAGTTACCAAGAGTTTGGCATGGGGCAATTAAACCAGCCTCTCTAAGCCTCAGTTTCCTTATCTGTAACAATAATGGTACATGAAACGGGGGCAAGGTTAAATGAGATCATGAGATCTCACCTGAGAACATGTGTGTAAACCTTGGCAGAGTGCCTTGACCTGGCATGTGCACGATAGATACTGGCGGTTATCATGAACGTATACAGGTTTTTATGATGCGACACAGACAGTTCTTGGCCTTTTAAAACATCCATTTCATTTAGATCTCAGCACCTCTTCGGAGTTCTTTCTCTCCTGTTTAGGAGAGACCGACGTTTCTCAACCTTTTTCTGGTCATTCTCCACCGTTCACATCAGAGAGCCTTTTCAGACATGTTTTCTGTATTCCCTCCAGCAGGAAATGTTAATACCATGGACACACTGTATATCTGTTTGGAGGGTCACAGATCACTGTAATATCTGAGGTTTTTTTGCTCTTCCACCAAGAACCCCTTTTTGCCCTCGGTGGGGTGATGATCACCCCATTAAAAACGCCCGGCATGCCAAGTGCCACATCAGTCATTTCGAGGAAGCCTTGTCTTAAGAAGTAGAGGGAAGGATAAGAGATGGAAAGGATTGAAAATTAAACTCTTTGGGATGCCTGGGTGACTCAGTCGGTTAAGCGTCCGACTTCAGCTCAGGTCATGAGCTCACGGTCCGGGAGTTCGAGCCCCGCGTCGGGCTCTGTGCTGACGGCTCAGAGCCTGGAGCCTGCTTCGGATTCTGCGTCTCCCCATCTGACTCTCTCTCAAAAATAAATAAACATTTAGAAAAAGAAGAAGAAAGATAAACTCCTAAAAGAGTTTCACAAGAATAGGAAGAAGGTTAAGACAAGGAGGGACACCGACAAAGCACTGGAGGACGGAGGGAATTTGAGAAAGTGTTCCAGAGAATGGGGGCGGAGTGGCATGAACGTCCGGGATGGGAATCCAGGGCCATGTGGGGTGGACATTACATTCCAAGTGTAAGCTGGGAAGTGTAAGTGGTAGCCGATAAGCAACGGAGAGCTATTGAAGGCTGAGGGCCCAGCCGTGGCCTCTTCAGAGCCGTGCTGTGGGCAGGCAGGTTGGCAATACCTGGAGGGTAGAACAGAAAGGAGAGGGTGGGAAGGAAGGAGGGGGGATCTGCCGCAGTGATTCAGGCAGGTGGGCCTGGTCTGCAGCCGTGCCTGTTGGCTGGGAAAGCCACCTTGGCAGGGTCAGCCTGATCTGGTGAGACTCGGTGGGCAGGGCTGCGGGAGAGGGGAGAAGGCTGGCGCCCTTGCTATTTGGACGATTTTACAAGTAACCAGCTATATCTGGCATATTTTACAGAAGCTGGTCTGGGAAGCCTTCAGAATGACTCAAGGAACAATCTGATGCTTGCCAGAGGAGGGGGGCTGACGGAATGGGCAAAAATGGGTGTAGGGGAGTGGGAGATACAGGCTTCCAGTTATGGAGTAAGCTCTGGGGAGGAAGGGCGGCACAGGGAGTACAGTCAATGGTATTGTAACAGTGCTGTATGGTGACAGATGGCAGGGACTATACTTGCAGGGAGCAGGGCAGAAGGTATAGACTCGTCAAATCGCTATGTTGTACACCGGACACCAATGTAACAGCGCATGTCAGCTATACCTCAATAAAGAGCCGTTCATGAAATATTAACAGGTTTAATTACGTCTCATTAAGCAAACCCTCCAAAATTCGTGGAACTCGTTAAGTAATTAAGCTTTCAGAAATGCATACATTCCTTTGAAACCCCTTTACACTTTGGAATAGCTTCAAAATATGCACCCTATGCTTAATATCAAGTGTTGTAGACGTGTTGTCATCAAATAAGCCAAGCAAATGCACGTTCGGCCACGCGTACGAGAGTCACTGGCTCCTTGTTACCCGTCAGAGGTTAGGTGTCCCGAGAGCACGGGATGTTTATTGTCCCTGGCTGGAGAGATCATGTGAATATCACTCCCACAGTTGGGGAAACATAACCTAAATGTTTTACAGACAGAGATTGTGTGCCTGGGAATGGGGGAGCGGGGGCAGGAGGGGAGGGGGGACTGAGGCCACCTGAGCGCCAGAGAAGCAAATCCAAAGCCTCGTGCCCTAAAGACAAGGCACTGTATTCACTTCAGCACCACCTCCTTAGGTGCTGTGGGGCCAAGGTGCCGCGCTAGGTTTTGGGCATCCAGAGAGGCTGGCAGAGAGCTCACAGTCACTCAGAGAAAAGATAGTAAAAAACTGTCATCACAATATGCTAAGTGAGATGGCAGAAAGAAGTACAAGGTGGAAGAGGAAAAAAAAAATATCCAAAGGTGAGTGCAACTGGCTCAGCTCAGGGGGCATGCAAGATGGTGGAGAGGGGCCCTGAGGGGTGCATAGGAGTTCTCTAAGAAAGGGAACAGCGAGCAGCAGCGATGTGGTGGAGAGTACGCGAGATCGCCACAGGGCAGAGTGTCCTGCAGGGGGTAGTTCCCTGCTCCCCAGAAGGTAGGAAGCCTCCATCTATCCACCCTGTACTGGTATGCAGGGACCAGGCGGGGGCTGGTTCACAGGGTCCCTGCTCTCAGAGACCTTACAGGCAAGTTGGGGAGTCACACATCCGCCACACAAACGAACGTAAACGTGTACACAAACAGGTGCTCTGAAAGAAAGGAATTCTATTCTAGGAGAATAGGTCTGAAAAGGCAGGGAGGGCTTCCTCAAGGAAGTGACCGGAGAGCCGATGTCTGTAGGCAGCGTAGCCGCGAATCTGGCAAAGAAGCAGGTGCGGAAACACATTCCAGGTGGAGAGAGCAGCCAGTGCAAAGGCCCTGGTGGAAGGAAGCCGGGCACATTCAAAGAGCTAGAAGGTGGGAGGAAAGAAGCAGCAGGAAAGAGGGTAAGGTGAGGCCCAAGAGACAGCAAGGGCGGGACCGCAGATCCTGGGCCTTGGCGAGGGACCCTCTTCGTGCCTACAGCAACGGGAGAAGCCGCTGAAGAGTTTGAACAGCAGGGTGAAGCAATCAGATTTGCATTTTACAGGGATCGCTGTGGCGTTAGTGTGGAGGGGACGGGAACATGGCAGGGAGCCCAGCCAGGAAAGCCTACAGGACCAGGGCCAGAAACAGAGGTGGCAATAAAAGGAAGTGTCCGGATAAGGCATTTAAGAAGTAAACTGGACAGGGTGTGGGGACAGATGAGACATGCAAAGTCCGGAAGAGGGAGGTGTCAGGATGGGGGAGAGCAAAAGACAGCGAGGCTACCACGCAGAGAAGAGAGCACGAGTAAGTCACGAAGGCTTTGTGTATGGAGACACGTGGGCCTCAGCCTCTGGGTAAGCGAGAGGCCTCAGGAGGAGGGGGGCGTCGAGTTGGCGGGAGAGCAGTCTATAAAAAGCCACGCGGGGCTGGGGAATCAGAGCAACTCGATCTCAGCTCTTCTCGACTTAATGTCTTTGAGCGTCTGTCTGTTCCCGTGTAAAGGGAGATAAATCGTATTAGATGGGACCATGAAATTCTGACTTTGTGGGTCAAACACGATCAAAAGGCAGCGATTTCACACGGTTCAAGGGCATATATTCACCCTGGAGGGACTGTGGCCATCACATAAGATGATTCTGTCAAGTGCACACACTGGCCTCGTCTTCACTACCATCAGCTTGATCACATTAACCGTTTTGTTTGGGGTCGCGCAGGTGTGTGGGGCGGGCTGATGGAAAGAAGCCGAGCTCCTGCTCACCGGGTCCATCCTCCAGGCAAAAATGTCCCTTCGGCTCCGCTGTGCGGCCCAGTGGCACTTGTCCCTGACCCTGGCTGCCCCTGCCCTGGAAAGCATCCCAGACCACCCAGCCCAGGTGTTCAGACACTCCTGGAATTGCACCTGGCCTGGAGGGCGTGGCCTGCGGGGGAGCCCCTAAGGAAGCCTGGGAAAGCTGTGGGTGTGCAGGAGAGGGGGAGGTGGCAGGCTCCAGCCCTCGACCCTCCAGTGACGCCCGTGGGACACGAGGTAAGTCGCGCTGTCTCCCAGGTCCTCACTCTCTCATCTGTAAAACACTAGCCGAGAGCCAGCTTGTAAAGGATTTCCGTTTTGCAGACCACGTGGGCTCTATTTCAACTACTCAGCTCTGGCATAGTGATGCAAATGCAGCCATAGGTAAGTAAAGGCAGAGTGCCTAGGGCCCAGGATACTTTAGGGGCCCATGAAAATGTTTGAATTTTAATTCCTTTTACTTAAAAAAAATTTTTTTTAATGTTTACTTATTTTTTGAGAGAGAGAGAGAGACAGACAGACAGACAGGAGCGGGGGAGGGGCAGAGAGAGGGAGACACAGAATCTGAAACAGGCTTCAGGGTCTGAGCTGTCAGGACAGAGCCTGACACGGGGCCCGAACTCATGAACCAGGGGATCATGACCTGAGCCAAAGTAGGACCCCCCAACCGACTGAGCCACTCAGGTGCCCGGAGTTTTCATTTCTCTTAAAGCCAGAAGAAAAAAAAAATACAATAATGCTGAATATGTAAGAGTGAATTCAACCTGCATTATGTGTCTTTATACCAACACAGTCC